GCCACCGCAGATAACACACGCTCACTACCACCCAAACAAAACCACAGCATGAATTTGTAACAGGGGAGAAAAATGAACCAAAACTAACAACGCCCTGTTTTTGTTTTTTGTTTTTCTTAAAAGTACTTCGAAAAGGAAAATTTGTTTGCGTTTTGTATGTACATTTTATATTTTTTGTACACATTGTTAGGGCTCAGTCATTTTTAATGATCTCGGACGACCAAACCAGCCTTTGGAGCGTTCTCTGTCTTAATTCTGACTTTATTTGTGATGTGACCATGTTCATTATAATTTCAAAGGAGAAAAAAAAAAAAAGTTGTTAAAAAAAGCAAAAACAACAACAACTAAAATTACAGTCTTATTCTGAGCATTCCAGTAACTTTTTTTGTGTATGTACTGAGCTGTACTATAAGTAGTTGGTTAAAAAAGGCTAAAGATAAAGTTCCTTTTCCTTTTTTTTTTGTCTATGAAGTTGCTATTTATTTATTTATCTATTGGACTATTTGATGTATGTGTGAAACAATGTTGTCCACCAATAAACTGGTATTTTATTTTGCTGAGTTGTTCTAACAACAGCAACAAAAGAATACTATACAATGCTAAAGAAACATTAATGAATCTGGGAAGACCTTATCGCTTGGATGAGTGTAGAGAACATTAAGCTGTATGAAATTAACCAGTCCCAGTTGGACAAATATTGCAGGAGAACACTGTTTTAAGAAAAGTCAGGAAAAGGTTTTCGTACCCTCAGAACTGTGTTTAGATATTTAACAGGAATGGGAGGGTAGGGAAGGATAGTAGACATATGTTAGCATGGATGAAGGGGAAGGCAATATACAATAAGAGATTGGCAAAAAAAAAAAATGATTAAGAAGGCAAGGGAAGGCATGGAGGAGTGTGAAAGTGAAAGACGACACAAATCTTACACTGTCATTGCCCTCTGAGTAGACGCACGTGGACACACATGACTGAAGGAGTCTACCCCCAAGTATGTACACCTGACAAGGGATATTTGTACACAGGTATTTACCTTGGTTGCAGACATTATCTCTGGATGTGGTGGAGCTTGTTGGAGGCAAAGTTATGAAAATGTCCTGTTGTTGCTGTTAAATGCCATCAGATCGGTACCGACTCCTAACTCAACAGAACGAAACACTGCCTGGTTTTGCGCCAACCTCACAACTGTTGCCACATTTGAGTCCATCGCTGCTGCCACTGTGCCAGTCCTTCTCGTTTGGAGGGGGGTGTTCCTCTTCTTCTCTGACCCTCCATGTTGCCAAACATGATAGCCTTCTCCAGGGACAGTATGTCCAAAGTATGATATGAAGTCTGGCCCTCCTGGCTTCCAGAGAGGATTCTGGTACACTTCTTCCAGCACCGATTGGTTCTTCTGGCATGTGGACAATTCAGTGACATGGGGACATCCTTCAAGTCATGCGATCATTCTCACTCTCCTTTTCTGAGTTTTTCCTCCACCATTAACATCAACTCGCTGCCCTGACAGCTCCTGTGTAAACTTTCAACTTGCTGTGTGTCAGTTTGAGCTCATATGTTATTGTTATGTGCTGTGGAGTCGGTTCCGACCCATAGCGACCCTGTACAGGGTTTCCGAGGCTGTAAATCTTTACTGGAGCAGAATGCCTCATCGTTCTCCCACAGAGTGGCTGGTAGTTTCGAACTGATGACTTTAAGGTTCGCAGCCCGATTCGTAACCACATATATAGATAGCTCTTAAAAGACCATGTGCTCAAGGCAGACATTTTCCCCAGTTAGGCTAAACTACTGTTTGGTTTTAAGAAGACTCCTGGGAATATGTTTGGTTTACAGTAGTTTCAGGGGTTCATCTATCACCCATGCTCCAGGAAGTCTGGAGTCTATGAGAATTTAAAATTCGAGTCTACATTTCTCCCTCTCGATCAGGAATCTTCCGTGTAATCTTGACTCCAAATGTTCAGGAGTGGTGGCCAGGCATCATCCTGATCTTCTGGTCTCCTGGCAAAGGCGGCAGTTTGTTCATGGAGGCAGTTAGCCACACCACCCACATCTTCTTACCCCTAACTCTCCCTCTTCCTCTGTTGTTCCCGGTTAGCAGAGACAAGTTGTTATCTTTTTGATGGCTGCCTGCTTTTAAGACCCTAGGCACTGCCCTATGTAGTAGGAAGTAGAAGAGAATCACTAAGCATGTTCTTAGTTTCGTTAACTGGGATGTTCCATGAAATCCATGATCCTAAACCTTCAAACCAAACAACCAAATCCCACTGAGTTGTTTGCTGTTGTTAAGGGCCGTCGAGTCGGTTCGACTCATACTGACCCTTTATAGGCTTTCTGAGGAGTAGTGAGTGGGTTTGAACTGCTGACCTTGTGGTTCACAGTCCATTGCTGATCCTACAGTGCCACATAAGCAGGCTTAGCAGCTACTCTTTTTTTCCTTTTTTTTTTTGTTGAAAATATATTTATTACACAACTTTTACCAAATGCAATTAAAAAAAAAAGAACAATATTGAAACACATGAAACAAAAGCAGACATCCCCCATGAGACCTCAGATTGTTAAAATATAAAGCTAAGTTAAAACTTCCTTTTTTATATCAGCAATCCTCTTCCTTAGCGGTAAACACATTAATTAAACTTTCACATCTATGCTCGATGACTTTTTCCCATGTATGTGTGTCTATTTGGACACACACATATCTTTATTAAGTATAAACATTTTTATCTGTAGCTCCTCTTTGTTTGGCAGCCAGGTATTCTGTTGTGTAGGTGCATCATAATATTTTAAACTGATTTTACAACATTGGTTATGCCGATGTAACAGCAATTGTGAGGTTGGTCCAGGGCCGGGCGGTGTTCCATTCTCTTGTGCATAGGGTTGATATGAGTCGATACCAACTCATCGGCACTTAGCAGTAACCACAAACAGTGTTACAGTAGTAATCACATTTCTAGATCCATTATAAATGCACTTAAAGGCAGGGAGATTCACAAGTAATAAAAAAGTGGAAGTGCATGGGAGCGTAACCTCCCTATAAGGTTGTGGAAAGGGCAAGCAATGGTGTAACTGTCAAATATTTCTGATGAATGATTTTTAAAAGGCAATTATAGCCAAACTATCATGATGACTTAGTGAAATTATGATGACGAATGAAAAGTTAGCTTAAATTTAAAAGTATTATTGTGCCTCAAGTTCAAAACTTCAATAGATTTACTTAAAAAAAATTTAGAGTGCTAATAGTAATTTCATTTTAAGTTAAATATTCGGTTTGGCTCTTTTTTCCAAATAAAATGAAACCCTCATTGTCCCAGATTGTTAAGTACAGAAATAGACAATCATATTTTTGCTATCAGCTTATCTTGAATTTGCATCATTTCTGTTGATTTATTTTAGTTTTCATCCTATTTTTATGGTTAGACTAATAAATGTGGCATAGATTGGATGAATGAAATAATTCATTTTTTCCAGATGAATCCAGTCCCATTGGATTTACTTATTTTTTAACACATACCGGATTCATTGATTGACCTCATTAAACTTGTTTAACAAAGCTGGTATAGGTTACTTTGTTTCTACCTCCCTGTTTAGTGACTTCAGATGAAAGTAATAAAACTTGGGGCTGGAACACGGTCTGTCGTCAAGAAGAATTTGAAGATGTCAAAAGGAATTTCAAGAAAAAAGGTTGTACCTGGGGACCAAATTCGATTCAGATGAAAGAAAGAACTGACTGCAAAGAAAGGTACAAATGGGCTCCCCATGGTTCGCCAGTGTTTGCTGTGAGAAAACACTGTCTTTTTTAGTGCAGGGACTTAGGGATGGACCAAGCCGATCTTTTACAATGCATTTACTACAGAGAGACCTGAGTATTCATTTCATTTTCTAGTATGAGGTTATCATGTTAATTAGGGATTAGTTAAGCACTTAAAAAAATCTCCTGGTTTTCTTTGGTTATTTTTAAAGGTTTTATTTGTACTTTGTACATTCTTCATAACTCTTTACTACCTTAAAAATATTGTAATTGGCATGCACCTACCAAATCCTTGTGTGTCTGTCTTGTGGTTATGTCATATCAAAATATGTATCTTTTCTTTTGTAGAGTACGACCTCTCTCAGATGGCAACAGTCCTTGGTCAACTATCTTAATAAAAAATCAGAAAACCATGCCCTTGGCTTCATTATTTGTGGACCAGCCAGGTAAATATGTTTCAGGGAGAAAATTTGTTTAAGTTAGACTTAGCTTCTGTGTGTTCTGATGCCCACGTGGATCACTGAAGTATCACAGAAAACATTAGCAAGTAGTAACATTAACATGTACTTTGCCTAAGTTTTTACTTACACTCACACATTATTTTCTGTCCAGTAACCCTTTGTGGTGGATAATAATTAGACTCCACATGTTGTTAGGTAATTTGTAGCTGCTATCGTTTACCCAGATAAGCAATTTCAAACTCAGTTACAAAGAGGCAGAGTAATGCTCTGTTGTTGCTAAATGCTGTCACTTGGTTCCGACTCATAGCTACCTCTTACAGGGTTTCTGAGGCTGTGTATCTTTACCAGAACAGAAAGCCTCATCTTTCTCCCAGAGAGCAGCTGGGGGGCTCAAACTGCCTACTCTATGGTTTTGCAGTTCAGTGCTTAGCTTGTGGAATCACTGTGCTCCCCTAGTGTAGTGTTGTTTAGTGCCTTCAAATTGGTTCTAACTCATAGTTGCAAATCGTTATGGGAGCAGAAAGCCTCATCGTTCTTCCAAGGAGTGGCTGGTGGGTTTGGACCACCATTCTCCTACAGTGCCACCCCAGGACTCCTAGGTGACCTTCATAGATACGACTTATATTATCTTGTGCTACACACACTTGCCGGTGGCCATAGGGATGGGAAAGATGATAGACGGGTCCATGTAAAGCCGTGAGGAGGGATATGTGGGTCTTACTGGTCAGCAGTGATGCACATAGTATGTAGAAGGGATACCTACTTAACTTCAATCCCGATTATGTTTGTCTGTTCCTCATGTTTTCTCACTGCGGTAGATAATGTTCTCTGTTACTCATTACATACACTGTGCATTCGAGTCACCAAAATGCAATCAGTGCCTACTTTATGAAAGTACTGTTCCAAGAAGATCCACAGAAGGTTAAAGAAAAACAAAACGCAAGTGACCATGTCCTTAGAAGCATCCTCTCTGCAGGCATGCACACAGCCAACTGGGTCTCCAAGCAAGCGGAAGGGACAGCTGAGCGATGCCAGGGGTGCAGAGATGGGCAGGGCCAGGCTTAGGCAGTGATAGTGTTTTGAGAGAACATTTAATAGGGGCATTGGGACTTGGGTAAATAGTGGTAGAGAGTAGAAGGATGACCTAAGGTAGAAGAGGGCAGTTGGGGCAAAGAGCACCAATGGGAGGAATACGTGTCTGGCTGGAGAAAAGCGGCCTTCTGGCTTGTCCAGGTTACGGAGCACCTTTCTTCTAGAATTGCTGTGAGTCCGAATTGACTTGACGGCAGTGGATTTGGTTTGTTTGTTTGTTTGTTTAGGACATCATTCTGGAACAATAATTGGAGGTTCTGTTGTAGGCTGCTGTCAAACCAGATGGAGGAGTTTTTAATGAATACATTCATGGTTAAGCACATAATGACAAGAAATGGTAGCGTCTTCTTCAGCCAGCATAATATATAACCCTTTGGGACTCCATAACCTTTTGGAGAATCTTTCTCTTTTGCAGTGACCCCTAAACTTTAGTAAAGGCTTGTTAAAACCCAGGAAGCTGGGCTCCACCCCTTGAATTTCTTGTTCAGTTGTCTGGGGCAGGCTAAGAATTCTCATTTCCAGCAGTTCCCGGGCAGTGCAGGTGCAGCAGGTCCAGGCAAGACACTCTGAGAAACCCTGATCTGTTGCATAACCACTGGTTGAAACCCAGGCTTGCTATAGGTCATGACATCTGACATTGTTTGAGGTTTGAGGAGGACAGATTTTATATAATATAACATAATAATGCCCAGGGAGCATGATGGTTGTATAGGAGAAGCATGAGACTGTGAACCACAGGGTTGGCAGTTCAAGCCCACCAGCCCTCAGAGGGGAGAAAGATGAAGTTTTCTGCTTTCACAAAGATTTGTAACCTCAGAAGCCTTACCCCTATACAGGGTTGTTATGAGTTGGAACCAACTCGATGACATGTAACATCATCAGAGTGCCCTTGTATATATGTGTGTGAATTTTTGCATCTTGGTAACTGTTTCTACGCTGATTTCTATGATACATGTCAAGAAAGGACAGTCACTGGAATAATAGACGCCTGTAGGTGACTTCTTGCGCTTCCACATGGAGCCTGGAGCAGTCGAGCCCTGAGTTCCTTGGACTCCACCTTAGATGAGTCACTGGCTGACCTGCTCAGGACTTGATTTAGAATAGTTATCTTAGTAGCTGTTAGCTTTATTTTACAATACTAGGGAGTTTCAAAAAGTTTGTGGAAAAATTACATTCGCTTTTAATTCCATTCTGCTCCCATAAAGATTTACAGCCTTGGAAACCCGGTGCCAGGGTCTCTGTGAGTTGGAACCGACTCCACGGCACACCACCACCATAAAGTTAAATAATTTTTGCTGTAAAACAGATCTGAAATGTGTACATTTCTACTTTTATTCAGGTGCTTGTGAAGAGCCAAAGCTTTCCCTTGATGGGTTAGACAACAGAAAACCAAAGCAAATAAAGTTGCCTAATCAAGCCTATGTTGATCTACCTCTTTGCAAAGACGATCACAGGGAGAGTCCTGAGGTATCTGAAAGCCCGGAGGAGCGGGGCTCTGTAAGCTCTGCTTTAGACTCTCCTCAGGTAACTCCTGCAAATAGTGTGAGTAGAGCACCCCAGAAAAAGAGGATGGAATCTGCTCTATATGGGTGCACCATGCTTCTGGCATCTGTGGCTTTGGGACTGGATATTAGAGAGGTTGGGAAGGCACAGGCTCCTGACGAGTTGCTGCTCAAGGAAGACAAGAAGAAACGAGAGGGAATCTTCCAGCGTGCCTCCAAGTCCCGCAGAAGTAGCAGCCCTCCAACAAGGCTGCAGTCTAAGAGAGAGGAAGTCAGCAGCCCGCCCGCCCTGCCTCTGTCAAGTGCTGTGACCCTTCTGTCTGTGCCTTCGCTGTCCACAAAGTGTTTATTGCAGACCGACAGTGAGGACGTGTCTGTGGGTAGCACCCACGGCACCTGTTACCCAGAGAGCCCTGCTCCGCATCTTCGCTCTGCCGTCCAGGGAAGTAGTCATGAGCCAACTGCTTTGTCAAGACTCGAGACGGATCACAGTCTACTGAAAAAACTGTTACCTTCCCCCATAAAACAGACACCTGGAAATGTGCCTTACGTGTCTTCAAATAGAAGAACATCACATCACAGACAGACCATGTCTGATGGAAATGCTTCTCAGACCCCAGGTAGGCTGTGCTAGTTGGGTAAAAGGTGTAGAATTTGAAATATAAAATTATATCTATGCATCTGATTTCCCCCCCCCCAAGGGGATGCATTTAAAATTAATTTTATTGTTCACTTAAGTTCTTTGATTTTTACCGTTCTATTCTTTTAAATGTGATTTTAATTGAGCTACAGTTTGGATTCTGCATGGAAGAAGGTTAACTACATTTTCCCAGAATCCACCAACCTGGTGATTAACAGTTCAGTGCTTATCCTACAGCGCCACACCAGTTTGGTGGTTCAGATACACCAGCCCCTGCTCAGAAACCCTATCCAAGGTCGCCGTGGGTTGGAACTGACTTGACAACACTAAATGACAACATGGGGGAGACCCAGGTTCAATCCCCAACCAATACACCTGTCAGTGGAGGCTTGTGTGTAACTGTGATGCTGAATAGGTTTCAGCAGAACTTCCAGACTAAAATGGGAGGAAGAAAGGCCTGGAAACCCTACTTCTAGAAATCAGCTAATCCAACTCTGGATCCCAGTGCTCCAATCCCATGGTACACAGGGTCACCATGTGCTGGGTCCGTCTCCATGGCAGCCAACAACCACTTACATCGATATTAACTTAGTGAAACCGAAAGAGAACATGGAAAAGGCTGACCCAGCTCCCTCGTGTTATGGAGAAGACAAGTAATTTGCCCAAATCTAAACCAGACTTGAGAGGGACAGCCACTACAGCGATGCTAAATCTGGTCCTCTGACCTCCAGTGAGAGCCCTTGTGTCCTGCTTTACTCTATGTCTAGATGAGGAAGCTCAAAAACAAACAAATTCATAATTTTTCTAATTCTGGAAATGAGAGGGACTTAACTAGATCACTCAAGGTCAGTAGTGGTGCCAGAATTTGAACCTGGAAGTTTTCAAATGAATTAGTAATGTCTTCTCCCTCCTCACATCTGTATCTTTTCCTGCTCTAGTACTCAGTCGATGTATATTCACATATACAGAGTTATGCTATTTGTGTTAGAGTGGTGCTCACGTTTTAAACATCTGTCGGCAAATGGTCCTTTGATACTGAAGGAGACTCGGAAGGAGACATGCTGCTGAGGTGATCTGAAGTCTGGCACTAACGAGGTTCAGGTTCTAATCGTACCATTTGATTCGTTTGTGATCCTGAGGATGTTATTTAACCTGCTTCCTTATTTTATTGCCTTGAGAGGCATCCTGGTGTGATGGTGAAGACCATGGAAACTGGCTCCATGTCTCAGCTCTTTCTCAGTTCTGCGACTTCTTTGCATGTGACCTTGGGCAAAACGTTTTGTGCTTCAGTTGTTTAATCTGTAAAATGGAGGTGATAATAATATACTAGCCTAATCTTTACTGCAGAGTTGTTTGAACTGCAGGGTCGGTGGTTCAAGCTCCTTGGAGTCGGAATCGACTCAACAGCATTTAACGACAGCAGCAACAATCGTTACTAATATTAGGATAAAGGTAAAAATGTAATAGCATACCGAGGGCTGTTCCCAGTTGCCTATTTGTGTTCCATATGAAGATAATGATATCTACCTCAGAACTCATGAGTAATACCAGTGGAATGCTTTTCAGTGTGTAAAATGCCCTGCAAGGGTTGATTATACAAAGTTATGTTACAACCAGAACTGCCTTTATTTATTCCCCAGATTTTTTCCTACCCCTTTCCTTCAAGTACTCACCTAGACAGTTCTCACCATTGTTTTTTTCTCAGATTACTATTTATTGTCATTTGATAAATTAGATTATTATTCTTTTGTAATGCAATAGCATAGTAGCAATTTATAATTGCACAAGCAGAAAGCCTAGCACAATTATCTCACAAGCTCTCATGTTTTTCTTCTTACTTGTTGTTGTTAAGTGCCGTCGAGTCTGTTCCGACCTATAGCGACCCTGTACAGGGTTTCTGAGGGTGTAAATCCTTACGGGAGTAGAAAGCCTCATCTTTCTCCTACGGAGTGGCTGGTAGTTTCGAACCGCTGACCTTAAGGTTCGCAGCCCGATTTGTAACCACTACGCTACCAACTAAAGTGGTAACAAGCCCCTTCTTTAGAATAAAGAGGTAACATATAAATACCTAACTACTTCCCTATTTTTATTTTTCCAAATGACAACTAAAAGTAGTTTGATCATATTAACTCTCATCTGTAAAAGTATTAAACTGATTTCACTCTAATCCATTTTGAAATCTACCCCATTCATTGTTGTTAAGTACCGTTGAGTCGGTTCCAACTCAGCAACGCTGTATAAGATTTCTGAGGTGAGTTTGAACCATCAACCTTGCAGTTCAAACCAGCCTTGCAGTCTAGTGCATTATCCCACAGCGCCACACCAGGACTCCAGCGGATTCACAGGTAACTATGGTTATCATTGACCTGTGCACTATGTACAAATGGTTAAGTGCTGGACCAACTGAAAACTTGGTGGTTGAGACCCACCCAGAGGCATCTCAGAAGAGAGAGCTGGCAATTTGCTTCGGAAAGGCTACAGTCATGGAAAGCCTATGGAGTACAGTTCTATTCATGGGCAGAACCGACAGTGTGGAGAACTGGTTTGGTTTTGTGCACGATGAAGATGTTTTTAGTTCCGTTTCTATAGGTTGAAGCACTCTTGTTGTTGTTGTTGTTGTTGTTGTTGTTATGTTCCGTGCCGACTCATAGTGACCCTGTATAGGATTTCCGAGACTATGAATCTTTTTTTTTTTTTTTCGAAAGACAGCAATCATCTTAATATTATTCCCCACTTTTCCACCCGAGACTATAAATCTTTACAGGAGCAGAAAGCCTTATCTTTCTCCCGCGGAACAGCTGGTAGTTTCAAATTGCTGACCCTGAGGTTAACAGCCCGATTCATAACTTGGCTGTTTTTATTAGGTACCTTGGAGTCGGTTCCGACTCATGGTGACCCTGCACAGGGTTTCCGAGACTATAAATCTTTGCGGGAGCAGAATGCCTCATATTTCTCCCACGGAACCGCTGGTAGTTTCGGACTGCTGACCTTGCGGTTGGCAGCCTGACTCCTAACCACTACGCTACCAGAGCTCCTTTTTCACTAAACAAAAAAAATCAGATCTGAAACAGTTTAGAAAATTTGCATTCATAGATTTTGTGAAAGTGCTTGTTCAAGATTTACCAGTTGAGCTGTCTTCCTAGTTCTTTGTCGTAGTTGTCATTGCCTTCCTAATTGCACATGTCTTGTCTTTTCATCCAGCTGGTGCAACTCTGAGCTCAGACCCTGGAGCCTCTGAGCTACCACCTAGGCAGACTTGGGGGCTGCCACACCCCTCTTCAGCTCCTCAGGATCTCTTGCCAAGTGTAGAGGACTCATTAGCAACACGAGGAGCTGTTAGTGTACCTCGGACCCGCCCTGCCTCCCTGAGAAGCCGATTGGATCCCCAGCAGTCTTCCCCATGGAGTACGGAATCTCCACCTGCACAAACGGACAGACTAGTGGGTCACTCAGGACCAAGCCCTCACTGCTTCCCTGGTGCCAAGGAGAGAACTGCATTGCACATGCCTTCCTTACTGGACACAGATGTGGAAGGTCAGCCGAAGGACTACACAGTGCCTTTGTTCACAATGAAGAACAAAGCCAGCCGGCCATCCATATATGAGCTGGAGAAAGAATTTCTGTCTTAAATTAAGTGCCTTATATTGTTAAAACAAATTCTTTTTCAAGGTGAACAAATTATGATAGTGTATCTACCTTCAAATTGTTACTTACTGCTGTGTTTTTAAAAGCTGTGGCCACGTCACCCAGTAGCAGTGCAGAATGTCTAACTTCTCAAAACCTGTACAAGATTGCTGTTCGCTGTCTACTGGTAGATCATTTTCCCACTGGATTTATACCAAGAAACTTGAAATATACAAAATGTAAGACAAGATATGTAGACCAGTGTAAAACTGCGTGTTCCTCTAAGTACAATTGAAGTGCTTGCTTTTGGTTCTTTTTTATATCTTTGTCAGTCAGCACAGAACAGAAATAGTCATGATAGGCACCAATTTCCCCCCCTTTTTCCCTTTCCGTCTGTTTCTTCCTTCGTTTCTTTAATTTTTTTTTGCGGGGGGGATAAACAAAGAACCACAAAAGAGCTAATGGTTCTAGGTATAGATATATTAGTAAGGAAATGGTGTCAATTGAAAAAATCTGATGGCTGGAATAGATAACAGTCCTGTTTAAACTTAGCAGTAGGCTTATAATACATAAATATTTCTAATTCTCACCTAAATTGTGCAATGACATTTGTCTGTGTGAGGACATTTTATTGAATGTAACCTATAAAAGTTTTAATGAATGTAATTTATAAGATTTTTATCCATTAGAACTCCAAAAGAGATTTTTTAGAGATCAGTCATTGACCTTTGGCTAAGACTATATTATATCCACTTGAGAGAGGTTAATCTGTAGGTTCTTCCTGTGGAAAGGGTTCTTGCTTCATTAATAGCCATATTATATTTGGTATCCAGAAATGTCCATTTTTTGTTACGCAGCAGTTTTGAAATGTTACGTTATACATGTTCTTAATCTCTGTTCACAGATACCATGTAAACATTCATGCCGTTTACTATTGTCTCTGCGAAAATGCGTAATTGTCTTAATAACCTCAAGTACAGCTAGAAACACTGCCAAGTCAAGAAACAGTACTGTTAGAATTGAACTACTTTGTAACTATTTCACATTTGCTTAACTGTGGCTATGTTAGACTCCTGTTGACATAAGCTAATATGAAATGACAAGTAGATTATACATTAAAAAAAAATGGTTTATAAAATTTATCCTTGAATTACAGACCAGGATTTTAAATGATTTCAAATTATTCATAAATCATTTTTATAAATCATACATATATGATACAAGTAAACTACTGAATTATTAGCTACACCCTGATTATTTAGTAGTTTTAATTTTTTTCTTTGATTTCTTTTGTCAAGTCTGTTTTTTCCCTTCTTTCACTAGAATATGTGTATCTAAATGACAATAAATATTTAATTTTTTCCATGTAATGAAAATAAGTTAAGAGCTGGACTGCTTACCCTAAGGTCAGCAGTTCGGATCTGCCAACCCCTCTGCGGGAGATACATGAGGCTTCCCGCTCCTATAATGGTTTGCCGCATTGGAAACCCTATGCATGATCCAAGTAAACTATTGAGTTACTAATCTATATCCTGGCTATTCAGTGGTTTAAAGTTTTCCTTGTTTCTGTTGTCGAATCTATTGTGTTTCCCTTCTTTCACTAGGAAATCAGTATTTCACTGACAATGAGTATTTAAACTTTCCATATAATGAAAAAAATTTACACTGTTATAAGATTTGCTGGATAGCTTTAAATTTCAGCAATTTAAAATAAAATTTAAAATATCTCCACCGATAGGAAAATTGTTTGACCATTTTAGACTGTCTTTGTCACCTCGTAGGTATGTCTCACCAGATGGTAAGCAGCGGGTGGAAGTATATTGCCCTAAGAAAAACAATCTTATGTTTCAGCTTCTTGCAACAAAATTACAGGGACTTATTTTATTCAGCTTTCTTATATCATTGTCCATTCTATTTTGTTGCATCATTTTAGGTGGCTTTTAAATTATGGAGCTGAAATTTAGTTTCCTCAAATTATTATCACAGTTGAGATTATGGTTGGCTGCCTGGTGTAGCGCTGTAGGATAAGCACTGGACCGGAACGTCGGTTTGAATTTCAACATCAGTGGTTCAAACTCGCCACCCAATCCTCGGATACCCTGTACAGGTTTGCTATGAGTTGGAATTGCCTCGACAACACTTAACAACAATAACAACTTCATATTCAATCATTTAGGGCATGTCACTTCCAGAAAATACACATGGAAACCCTATACAGGGTCGCCATGGGTCGGAACCAACTCCATGGCACTTAACAACAACAATGCGGTAGTAATAAATATATGGGAGAAAAAGTTTAGAAACTATATATCTTCAGTTTTGCTTCAGCCAAAACAACTGCATGTGTGTGCATGTGTATCTGTGTAATGTGGGTCCCAGTGTGTTTGCTCCTTCCTGATCCCTGCTAGCGTTATTTTCATCAACTCTACATACAGATGAATTTTTAAATGAGAATAGACTTAAAGTATAATTGAAATATATGGACTGCAGCTCATACTTTTGCTGAGATCGATGGTACATTTGCGATTTTCTTTGTGTACTAGTGTACTTGGCAGAATCTGGCTATTTGTTTCCACAGAGACTTACCAGCTCCCTGAGAGATGCACTAATTATGTCAACAATTAAGGTTCTCCTTCAGCAGAGCTTTAAGGTCCTGACACACTGTATTACAAAGTCTATGACTGAGAAAGACGTTTACATTTGTTGTTTATTTTTTTTAATAAACTTTTTTATAGTCAATTTGCTCAGTATTTTGATCTACTCCTGATCATTGTGGCTATAGTTCTCAATTCTTTATTTAGTATTGAATCAGGAAATTATGTTTCTAAAGTACATTTTCAGTGCTTAATAAGTCAGATAGGAGCCTGCTAAATTCCTTAAACTGAAGATCACTACATGAGTAATGAGATTAGATACTTGAAGAAGGTACCATGAAATTAAAAAAAAAAATTACACCAACCATCATTTTCATCTCCTGCCAAGCTCAGCTGGATTCAGTCAGTCATCGCTTTGCCCACGCACAACTCAACGGCCATATTCATAGTGTGGGGTTTATTAGGGAAGCTTAACAGGTTACAGTTCAGGACATTGTCCACCCAGTCAGACAGCCTCTCCTCAGATATGCCCAGAAACAGTGTTCAATGCTCTTTTAGGACTGCTGAGCAATGCCCATAAGGCACACCACTCCGCCACCACTCTGCCATCAGCGTCAGCCTGGAAGCACTTGAATGTAGCTCCTTGGGCCAGAAACCTACCACCCCCATTAAAATGGCTAGAGGCGCCTCACTCTGCAAGGAAGTTTCCTGCCCAAAGTCACTCAGCTTGACTTGCTTCTGGGCTGGGGAGCACCGTTTTCGGTCACGTGCTCTGGCTCTTGAATATGATGCTGTTTCTCTGTCAGTCCTCCTTTGTCATAGTTCTCTGGGTTGAAGAGATTCAATGCACAGGGATCTGTGTCAAATGATGTGTTCCATTGCTGGCTCTTCTTTGAGGGTTATAAGATCCCCTTCTGCTTCTGAGATGACTCATTTTATACCCCCACTAACATTCCAGATTTTCTCAATGAACCCTGTTAGAACAAATGGACCATGTACTCCATCAGCATCTTCCCTCACCTTCTCTTGCCCAGACCTATCAGAAAACTCTTATTTGGTGGGAGTTGCAAAGATGATGGCCAGAAGAGACAGACGAGTTAGTTCACTGTGCTGCAGAAATATTTTTAATTCTTTTGTACAATATGCAATGACAAGTCAAATTTGATTATGAGCTTTGCAACTTCAGCCTTTCAGACAGCACACTTTGTCTCCTGCAGAAATGTGGTTCATGAGACATTATTAACACCTATATGACACACTTAGTGTAACTCTTTTTAATAAGAAGTTTAAGTTAAGTAATAGTACCCCGATTTCATTAGCTATGAAGCATATGAGTTTGGTAATTTTTTCATAGACATGTTCTATAGGTCAAGTAACCACAATCCACATGGTAGAACCTATTGTAATCCTATTTTGTTGTTATTGTTAGGTGCTGTCCAGTCAGTTCTGACTCACAATGACCCGACACACAACAGACTGAAATCTGCCTGGTGTTGCACTATCTTCACAATTATGTTTGAAGCCATAGCTGTTGCCATTGTGCCAGTCTATGTTGTTGGGAGTCTTACTCGCTGACCCTTCACTCTGGTACCTCCTGATAACATGTCCAAAATACATGACACAGAATGTCACCATCCTAGCTTCTCAGGAGCATTCTGGCTATAGTTCCAAGGCCTCTTTGTTTTTCTGGCTCCATGGTACTCTCAGTGTTCTCCAACACCATAATTCAAATGCATCGATCCTTCTACAGGCTTCCTTATTGACTGCCCATGTATATGAGTCAATTAAAAGTAACAGGTTTGAGTGTGTACATCTTAAGTCCTTTGTGGTACCTTTGCTCTTTAACATTTTCAAGAGGCATTTTGCAGTAAATTTGCCCAATACAATATGTCCATTGATGTCTGGAGTGTTGCTTCCATAAGCATTGATTGTGGAGCCAAGCTAAACTAAGTCTTTGACAACCTTAATCTTTTCTCTGTTTATCATGGTGTTGTTTATTCATCCCAGTTGTGATGATTTTCCTGTTCTTTCTTTATATTGAGGTGCAATCCACACTAAAGACTATGGTCTTTGATCTTCATCATAAGTACTTTAAGTCCTCTTCCAGCAATCAGGGTTGTCATCTGCATATCACAGTTGTTAATGAGTCTTCTGCCAATCCTGATACCATGTTCTCCATATAAGCCAGCTTCTCGGAGCATTTGCTCAGCATACAGGTTGAATAAGTGTGGTGAAAGACACACATCTTTCCTGATTTTGAAACATTCAGTATCCTCATGTTCTATTCTAATGACTGCCTCTTGGTCTATGTACAAGTTCTTCATGAGCACAATTAAGTGCTCTGAAGTAACATCAATGTTATTCATATCTTGGTCTGATCAACACAGTCAAATGCCTTTGCATAGTCAATA